ACGTCCCGAAATCTTATCCGTGAGGTTGGTGTGTAACCATGAGTGATAATCGGCTCATCTATTTTCAAAGATACAAAAACATTAACGAGTACTATAAGACGCGAAAAGTGCTTTGCCTAATACGCCATACAGATCAATTGCTCTAAATTCTTTAAGTTAACTTTGAGTTGACAGCCTACCATAGAAAAATGAAGCTACATGTTCCTACGCAACGATGATTTGAGAGTACGATGTGCGCGCGCACTAAAACCGCTCAAAATCAGAATTAAATTTGAATTTAAAAAATTGTGATTCAAAAGCTTTTTCATGGATTTTTTTCTATAGTAAGCAGCTACCTTAGGGTGACTTAACTAAAGTAACTAATTTGAATTTTTTAGCGTGACTACCAAGATACATACCAGGACCGTCCCAACAGTCCAGTTCAATACATCTACAGCCTAGTAACAAAGCTCTGACATACGCCTCAAGGCTTGACTGTCCTCTAAATTGATGGCCGGTCAGGTAGGTATTGTGAGACGAGTTGATGAAGTAGTCTGACAGTGGTTGATCCATGTCCTTTGAGGATGGAGATAAAAAGGTAAAGAAATGAAGAGAAAAAGCAGGGATGAGAGAGAGAGAGAGAATGAAGGCACGTAAACAACTTATTTATTTAAAAAAGGTGCACGTATCTCTCTCGATCTCTATTGTGGGACGAGTTGATGAAGTAGTCTGACAGGGGTTAATCCATGTTCTGTGAGGATGGTGTTTGCGAGGAAAGGGAGAAAAACAGTTTTTGGCCTTTCGCCATAAGGACAGCTTTACGTATTTAAGCTCAATATTTTGTAAACACGTTCTTTTGGAGCCAAATAGCAAAATATCAAATGCGACCAAAATTTATTGAATGCGTATTCGAGATATAAAGCCGTGTACTTTGGGAGAGTTGATATTTTGATCACCAGAAAAACTGACATTTTCGTGAATACTGAGTAGATTAACTCTAATAATTTGAAAAAATTTCGTCACAAGTTTTACGCAGCAGTGACACAAATGAAACGCCTAAAAATTTGGAGTATTAAACTCTGCTAAATAAAAAAAATTGTGAAAGTGGAGGGCTTGCCGTTTTTCTGCCCTGTCGTTTGCGAGTCAACTCAGGTCGGGTCGGTTCGTTTTATAAGCTTTCTCGTTACTTTCTCTGGTTCTAATTTATTCAACATGTAAATATATACGCCTTAGAAATTCAAATTATCATATCTGACGCACGTGCAAATGTGTGGTGCATGCGATTAAACAGAAGGAGATAAAAAGGTAAAGAAATGAGGGGAAAAAGGAGGGATGATAGAGAGAGAGAGGAAAAGAAAGAGAGAGGGGGAGAGAAAAAGGGAGGGAGGAAGAAGGGAAAAATGGATGCAAATTTGGCGCCCAAAAAGTGCGCGCTTGCTCCCCTTTCTCAGCTCTCAAACGTAAACTGCAAGCAGTCCCACTTATCCTTCCAGAATCAAAGCTCCAATCTACGCGCGTCCACAGAAATCCCAAAATACTAGTCTTTTGGAGGGAAATGTGGGACTGCTCGGTGTCTAACACTCTCGTTTTGACAGCCAATCAAAAACCAGCGAATCAGCGCGCCCAAAAAGATCTGATCAGGCGGTCCATCGAATCTACTGGAGGAAAACATGGCGGCCACAGTAAGAGAAAATAACTCTAAATCTTTGCTTTCCTAGCTACGTTATTGACTAGCAATGCATTTAAAATCCTACCTATTCTTAAAACAATTACCTATGTGTCAAATGGAGCATTGTGTTTTCATTTTTTTGAATAAAATTATTGTGAAATGATAGCTCTTTGTTCGCCGGTAAACAATGAAACTACGACCTCCTGGTCAACTACGACAATCCTTTGCGCGCGTTCCCCGAGATCACCTGGTACTGAAAAATATATTATAAGATATCCAAGATATAACGGGCGTGTAGCCTTCTTCGAAGCCACCAATCAGAGAAAAAGGTTAATAACAGTTATTTCATAAAATATAAATAATTTATCAGAAAAATACAAGAAATGAATGAAATGAATAAAAGTAGGCTTCTAACGTACCTGGTGCACAGTGTTGTGTTCTGGGTTTACAACGGAATTATCTCCGCTTCGAATGTAACTAAAAAATAAGATTCAAAAGAAAAATACAAATTCCTCGTCTCGGCTTTCACGTGACTTCATCAAAATGTTAAACCTCAAAGTATTCACTCCAAAAAATTGTTCATGGAATATTTTGTTTTGACTAAAGAGAATAGATCTCTTCGTCTCTGACGTAATGTTTTCCCATTTCAGACCACGTGTCATTCCCTAAGGTATCATTTGGTTGTGGTGCAATGTTTTCCCAATTCAGACCACGTGTCATTCCCTA